AGGGCTGTCACAGGATTGGGGGAAAAGCTACTTTCTGATTGCCTTGGCTTTCCAGAGACTGCACCAGCCACGGGGGTCCAGGGTTTGGAGATGTAAGAAGGCATGATGTACAACTTGAGAGAGCAGCAGCAGACGCGGATGGGTTAGCATGTTAGAGTGGCTTAGGGTCATCCGCTAACAGTGCGACTCACATGCCCTGGTGCTTCTCTCTAGCCCTGTCGAGATAATTAGGCTGGAAAGCAGGAGGAAGCCTGGGTCAAACTGGGGGTGAGATTTCGCCGGTCACGTGACAGAAGAAGAAACACCAGCACAGCTGAAAGAACACACAAAGGAGGGGCTGTGAGGACGGGCCACATGGCAGAAGCCAGGGACAGAGGGGCACAGACGTGGAAAGGGTGGGGCCAATGGGCTAGCCTCCTGTAATAACGAGAAACAAGGATAAATTCCTAATGAGCATCTCGAAGGATCAAGATGAAGAAAAAGTACAGATTCATCCTCAATTAGTTTAAATTCAGCAAGCTCCACTTTAGAAACAAGCCTAGAGCCTCTACCACTGCCACCTCTGTCCCTGTCCCCACGCATGTCTTATTCCTTGGATTACGGCAGTCGCCTACTGTCTGGTCTCTTCACATCAGTCAATTCCCTACGAGCTCATCGTCATAAACCACATTAATTAGCCATCCAGAGCACATTACCACCTTGCTCCACTCACCCGGTGACTTCTCATCGCACCCAGAATCAATCAGTCTGAGGTCACTGGCTGCCTCTCCCACAGTCCTCGTCACTTCTCTCCCCCTTGCCCAATACCCTCCTGCCCTTCTCTCCAGCTGTTCCCACAGGAACCACGCTACAGTCTCCGGACTTACTGTCTGTCCTTCTTAGAGGGGTATTCAGAGTGGGTGTTCTTATACTTCACCCCAAGCTCTGCTTTAATGACACCTTCACTGCATCCTTGGTGGATGCCTCCATCTAATACGGCAGTCTTGCTGCTCTAGAAGGATCCCAGACGTTGCTTTCTTTATCCTCACGATCTCGTCACACTGGTACTCACTATATTATACCAACTGTTCACTGCTGTTATTCCTTCAGTAGCAGGATGGAGCCTTAGGACACGGAACAATGCTTGGTGTTATTGAGCTGCCTCATAAAATATTTGCTATAAGTGAATGAACTGTCTCTTCAAAAAAAATCAATCTTATTCCACGTTCAACATTCTTAATAGGGACACGAAAGCCTTGCATGGCTAGAGAAACAGTGCAGCAGAGATGACTCCTGAAATTGCTCTCCTAATAATAAGGGAACTGTGACGCACCGCTTCTTCAACACTTCCTGGATCTAATTCCACAGTTATCTCTTCCCTGATGCAACAGCTCAGGTCAGAAGACTTTCTCTTCCAAATATTACTAAAATACCAAACACCGAGGTGCTCTAAGAGCACCAGACTGGGTATACCATACTGAGGTGCAAATGAGTGATTGAAAAAAATGTTAGTTATGTGTGTGTGTGTGTGTGTGTGTGTGTGTGTGTGTGTGTGTGTAAGCCAGAGAAGAACTTTTGTAGGATCCTGTTCTCTCTTTGGGTTCTGGGGGTTGAGCTCAGGTTATCAAGCTTGGTGGCAGGCACCTTCACTGCTGAACCATCTCACTGGCCCCAAGTAAGTATTTTTGTGCTGCCCAGAATCTAAAAATTACCAGAGTTAATCCAACATGGAAAGACTTAGCCCAAAGGCAAGGGTGTAAGGAGGGAAGGAAGAAGGAAGAGAGGCAAAGAAGGGAAGAAGCAGGATAATAAGAAAGCTAAAGGGTGGGCTAAGGGAGGGAAGAAAGAGAACCAAAAGTAGATGGGAAGGGACACGAGGTGAGGAGGTGGAGGGTGGAGCAAATGGGAATACGGTATAGTGTCAGCTGTGTATGATAACAAGATGAAACCTGCTACTTTCTATCCTAACCTAAAAGAAAATAATTTTTAAAACATGGGAAGAAGAGAAAGGAGGTTGAATATGTTGGTGGCATGGTTAGTTTGAGTTGTTAACGAAATCTAGACAATCTAGAAGGACCCGGGAATAGAGTCTCGATGAGGGGTTGTTAGACTAGGCTGGCCTGTGAGCTTGTCTACGAAGAGGGATTTTCCTGACTAATGGGAAGACCCACCCACTGTGGGCGGCGCCATTCTCTGGACAGGGGATTGTAAGAGAGTGAAGAAGGCAAGCGGAGCACTAGCAGGAAGGTATTCATTTATTGCCCTCAGCTGTGGACGTGATGTCACCAGCTGTTTCAAGTTCTTGTCATCCGACTTCCCAACAATGGTGGGCAGAACCTGCAATAAACCCTTTTTCCCTTGAGTTTCTTTCTCCGGGTACTGTTGTCACAGAAGCAAGAAAGGAAGTTGGCACGGTTTATTGCGATTGAATTAATATGTATCTAGCTGACACTAACACATTTTATAATACAAGACAACTTGATATTTATTTTATTCCGAAACACATGTATTATGATCTCTCTTGTGGGGGAGACGTTGGTCATGACTGGCAAGCATTCTTCCTTTAAGCTATTTCCTCAGACCTGAAGCGAACTGCTTAGCAAACTGAGATAAATTCAGACGGAACAACCAAAACTTGGTAACACTTAGCTTATACTGAAAGACAAGAACAGTTCCTTTTAAACGACAGTAACATGTATTCCAAGGATTTCAAGCCAATGAACAAACATTAACCTGGATTTTTTTCAATTGCAAAAGTAACTAAACTTTATGGGAGCAAAGAAGGAAGATTTTATGGCTGTGTGCTTTCCTGAGAGCTCAAATATAGAAAGGCTGTGGTATAGACACTTTCCACGTCTGTGACACAGAGGGAGCGTCCGAAGTTCTTAGAGAACAGCTTTTCCAGCACACACGTCAGGGAGCCTATGATCCATTTGCTAAGAAAGAACATGAGAAGGTTCAGTGGGTAAGGAGCTTACTGTGCAAGCTGAGAAATTACGGTAGAAGAGGACTCCCCAAAGTTTATCTCTGACCTTTACATGTGTGCATCTACACACACACACACCATCGCACACACACTACCACATCTCACACACACACACACACACCATCACACCACCATACACATGCACACACACCATCACAGCATCACACACCATCACATGCAACAATAAATAAATATTAAATTTTTTAAAAAGGAAAGAAAAGAAAGAACATGTAGGCTTCAAGAGCTCTGTCTGTGGTCACACTTTCTGGTTCCTGGTCCAGGGGAGATAGTGCAATCAAATCTCCCTGTGTTGTCAGGGTGAGTAAGCAGCCAGTAAGAATTTAGAAATCAGGTCTCCATTCTATTAGAATCTTGAAGAGTTGCCAAGATAAACCAAGTTGCTGCCAGGGACCCTTTACGCTTGGATACTCACGGTTATACAACCGTGCCACTCTCAGACACCATTTCTGGATCATTCCTAGGCGCTATTTCTGGGCCCACCATTGGCTTTTCTTCCTGTGGGGATCAGTGGAAGGCTGGGGTCTCCCTGGATATATACAAATCTCACTGTACACTTCACCTCTACTTTTCATTTTCCTTATTCATGCCAATAAGAAGAATAAGATTCAAGAACAGATCAACTTTGAAATACCTGTTTGTCTCATTATATAATAGCAAGCAACCATTTTTGTATGCCTTAGCAAAAAGACGAACCTGATATGTCAACATACGCTTTAGGAAACACACACACACACACACACACACACGCACACGCACACGCACACGCACACGCACACACACACACATCACTATCCAAGTGGGGAAGAAGGCAATGAGATCTGACGCCCTCTTCCGGCCTCTGAGGCAACAGCACGCTGTGTACTGAAATACATTCCAACCTCATACGTGCATATAAAGTAAAAATAATAAAAATAAATCTTCAAAAAGTGCTTTCTAAGCCAAACCCAATCCCCACATCTTCCTTCAATTAGTTTCACTGTCTGTCTACATCACATACTACAATGAAAATGAGACACTGAAAATAAAAATCTCCACACACTTTAATTCCCTCGTGTGTATTTAGAACCGAGGGAGCATACTCTGTGATGTCGCTTGCGCGTGCGGCAAGAGGCCGCATGAGGCAAAGGAACCCAAAGGTACACAGAGTCGCCAAGTGAACTGGCCACTGTAACAAAACTAAGTAGAGGCATTACTTCCCCACCTGGCCTATTCCCACATACCAAGTTGTGAAACACGGGTTTTTATGTCCGCTGTGGTTTGTGCCTCTACGGCACAAGTTTGCAAACTCAGTCCTAAGAGAACGGTTCCAGGGAAGGGACTGTCGAACAGCCAGACTACAGCCAGACTACTGCGAAGTCGACAGGCCGTTCAGGGTGTGCTCTGGAGAACTAATGTAGTTTTTGTTGGATCCGCCCAGCCACTCTCCTGCATCCTGTTATGAGATGTGACCTGTTCTCTGGTACCTTATTCCTGTCACTACACCCAGCGTGATGGAACAGTCTAGAGGACTCTCACCAGAACTGTGTGCCATGTCCAGAATCCCTCAGACTGTGATCTATACAGACCTATACAGACCTCCTCTGCTCAGGTATGGCTAGCTAGCACAGAGCTCTCTCAGAGGTGACTGGACTCCGGGTCATAAGAAAAAACAAAACATTTTTGCAATAGCCAGTAGATATTCAAAATGTACAAACATACAGAGTAAACGCTGCTTTTTGGATCATGGCCTTGCCTCTCTTTTGTGTAAAAAGTAGAACATTTTACACTTGAGGATAAATTTCAAGCAGAGTATTGAGAGCTCCTGGGGGGCTCTTCACCCATTGCCCCATCTGCATGAGATCACACATGAGTCAGCTGTGCTTCGTCAAAACCAAGAAATTAACCCGTGCCAACACTCAACTAGGAGGAAGGGTTTGTCCTGGGTCTTTTAGCTTTCCTCTGCTGCAGAGTGCAATGCAGACGCCCGCGCTGCAGGGGCCCATGCTGCAGGTACCCGTGCGGGTGCTAGCCTCACCTTCCGCTCTGTTTCCACATCCTCATCTTGATAATCATCGCACGGGCTGGAGCTGGCTGCAAAGGTGGGTCCCTGAGAATAGTACTGAGAACTTCGGCATCCATCCCGCCTCAGCTTGTCACATTCTGCAGAAAGAACGGGCAGCAAGGGCAAGAAGTCATTAGAAACCAGAATTTCTGGGAGTCCACGTTACTTAACTTTTCCAGTAATATTTTCCTAAGCAAAATAGAATTTCAAAGTAATGCTATAAATGATTAAGGGATATTAAGGAACTAAATAGCGCATCAATGCACTTCAAGTGGGTCTTCAGAGCGCACCACGACCCTACGCAGTAAACACTTGTCAGCACCTCTGTTCCCAGGAAACTGAAGGTTAGTGTAATTAAAACATATGATCAGTATGCTGGGCAAGGAAGGAGTAAATCAGAATGTCACCCCAGGGCCTTCTCTACTGTACTATATTTGCCACAGAACTACTGATCATATTATAACAGTTTTTCCAAACCAAAACACAAGTGACGGCCAAGCCACGCTTGTTTCCAGGACTTAGCATCTAAGGACTGTGATATTATCACTTTCCAGATAGATGGGCGGGGCAGGGGAAGGAGGGAGGAGAGTGCAGGGTCCTGGAAATGAGACTCACCGCCCTGAAGATGCTAAGCAGGTGCTGTATAACTCAGCCTGCAATTTAATTTTGATATCAAATTTGCTGCGTGGAATTTCACTGGAAGTGACGTGCTAGCCCCAGATATCTGCCAGCCCGCAGAGGAATGCCTGGCAGCAGCATGGTCTAGGTGCCCTGACAGGCAAGAGGCTGGGGTCACAGACTGAGGTCACAAGGGACACCGACGCAAGGAGTACTCTCTGGGCTAGTGTGTGGGGACGGCACCAATGGCTTCTCAAGGCACCAGGAGCTTTCCAAGTTATTAGCCAGACCCATTAAGAGGGCATTTGTCAGGCAAGAGGACTGTAGTGTCGTTCCCTTCAACTTCAGAGGCAGCAAAAAAGGTGCTTTTCTAAAGGTTTTCTTATAGAGCTTTTAAAAAACCATAAACCTAAAAGCCCAGAACCAAACTAAGACCTCTCCACAGTTCCTGTGTTAGCACAGAACCTACACAGACCCTCACTAGAGAAGGACACTCACTTCGGTAAGAGGTAAAATCATGAGGTTTTTGCTGTTGTTTACGAACAGAAAATAAAAGTCCTCTTTCTTCTTTCTTGCAAGGGGAATGGATGGAGGAAGTTCCTAATTCAGAACAAGGAAAAAAAAAAAAAAGAAAAGAAAAGTCCCTGACAACAGTCACTAAGCTCTCTGAAAATGTCAAGGTAACTGGAAGACGAACACCATGAGATAGCTAAGGAACAGCGTCAGCCACTTATGGGCTGGCAAGTATTCATAACACTTTCTGAAGCACAGTCTCCAAGTGCCTGAAGCTTCCAGAAGCCAAACTATTTTTAAAATTAGATTTATTTATATATTTATTTATCATGAGTGTATAGATGAAAATTCACTCATGCAATCTAGCCCTTTAGGCAGAGAAATATTTTCACAGCTCCCCAACAGTTATCAATTACTCTGAGATAAATACAAATGGTTTATAGCCTTCGTCTACTGAGGTGATGCTAAAGGAAACACGAAGGGTAGCTTTCAAATGGTATTCTCTGGAGATTTCTGGGACTCTTGAATATTGGATTTGGTTTTCTTTAAATACTTACCCTAAGGGAGGGACAAAAGTGGTAACACTCAGTTCAACAGTTTTACACACGATACCTTAGCACAACCCAGTGGGTTCGGCATGTAATGTGCTGCTAGGTTCACTTTGCCATGACACTAGAAATGGACCATTATAATCACCTCTGTATCACTGAGTCTTCTAAGGGCTGGGGCAAATCTTGCAAGCCCAGCCACCACAAATTATGACCATCTACAGCTACACGCCTCTGCAACGCCAAGTTTTTCAAATACCTAACAAGGAAAGGAAAATAAAAACAGACGCCGAAGCCTTTAAGCGAAACTCTTATTTGCCATCATCGTTTCTGGCCACACTAGGTAAGCAGGTGAAGAGCATGAACTGGTATGGTGGCTTATCATGTAATCCTGGCATGCAGGAGGAGGAAGTTCAAGGCCAGCCTGGGCTAACCAAGACAGACCACGCCTCAAAACAACAAACAAAACAAACCAACCAAACAAACAAAAAGACTTTAAATTTTATTTCTGTATTGATAACATGATAAGACTGTATTTGAAATATAAGATTTCTTTCCCTTGGAAGTAGGGACTCGTGGGCTAGCCCAATTCTAAGAGTGACATTAGTTCTTATCTTGGGAGAAATGCCTAAGAATACTGAACTCAGCTAAAATGACTGACACATGTTAAATCTTAAAAGTCCAAGTACTTCAGAACCACCTCCCAAACACTAAGAATCATGGGAGGTTAGCAACTATGAGTTCTGTCCATCCAATTGTGGTGCCCCAGTGCGGAAGACAGTGCAAGCTGTTCCTACCATGACATTCAACTCAGAGAAATGTGGACACTGAGGTCCAACCAACACTACTGTAGGTTTAGGGATCGGCAGATTGGTGTGGGAGAATTGTCAGTATTCTGTCAATCATGTTTTAAATAAATGTTGATTGGCCAGGCAGGAAGCAGAGGCAGGTCAACCAGACAGGAAGCAGAGGAGGGGTGATGAGAACAGGAGAAGGCTAGGAAGGAGGAAGCCCATTCCTCCATTCCTGCCCAAACCACAGAGAAGCAAGATATAACCTGCCCCCGCTGGAAAAGGTACTGAGCCACATGGCTAACACAGACAAGAATTATGGGTTACTGTAAGATGTAAGAATTAGTTAATAAGAAGACCGAGCTAATGGGCCAATCAGTTTATAACCTAATGTAGACTCTGTGTAATTTTCTTTGGGACTTGCCAGCTGTGGGGTACCAGGCGGGACAGATACCCAAACAAGCCAGCCCTCATGCTACAGCAGATGATCTTTTTTTTTCCCCCTCTCTGATCCAATTTCTGAAATAAAGTAAATTCACAAAACTCTAGTGTTACTTATTCCAACCCTAGGGGAAATTTAGGAGAATTTCTGTTATCAGCTTGCAGTAGGTCTTTGGCTCTGTTCATTAAGACTAAATGTATTGTGTGCTAATAAATGAGATGAGAGTAGACCAAACCACCATGAATAAACAAAGACCTTTCAAACACAATGAGAGTAACTTAACTGCAAGACAGCCCATAATTCACAGCCAGGTTTTACCAGCAACTACAAGACAGAAACAAGCCCTGAAGACAGGAGCAGACCCATCTTTAGCGCACACTCTTGAAATAGAAATGAAGGCTAAAACTAAGTTAATGTTCTCAAAGGACTGCTTGAATAAGTATCACTGTTGAGGCCTCTGCTTTCCCACTTATGAAATTTCCCCTCCTTCCTTTTATGAAGAAAAACAAGTTCTTTAGCATAGGGAACATGTGCAAACATTTCCAGTAAGCCAAACTTTTAAACACAGAAGGAAATAATCCTAAACAAGACAGCCGTCTAACCAACTTAAGAATTTACCTTAGAAATGCCAACAGAATCTACTGCAAGTAGGAGGCGTAACCAGAGCATGCGTCCTCAGCATAAATATTAAACGCTGAACACAGCACACACACACACACACACACACACACACACACACACACACACACACCTGCAAGCCCAGTACGGAGGAGGCAGACAGGAGGTGTCGAGTGCTTGCTGGCCAGCCAGTCATTTGGCTGGTTCAATGTGAGACTCTCTTAAAAAAAATAAGGTAGAAGGGCTGGGAAGATGGCTCAGGGGGTAAGAACTCTTTCCACACAACGGAGAAGATCTGCATTTGGATTCCTAGAACACACGTGAAGACAGGTGTGGCCATGCATGATTAGCTCCAAGTTGAGTGAGAGATCTTGTCTCAAAGAATAAGGTGGATCTCAATAAAGGAAGACATCTGGTACCCATGTCTGGCCTCCATATGTCCAGACACAGTGCACACACAGTGCACACATACAACACACACACAAGTTGGGGAAGGACTGAAGATACCTGATGTCAATCTCTGTTTTCACATGTACCTGCACAAACACGTATGGACACGCTCGCGCACACACACCACATAAAATCTGAAAACTAATCTATTATGATAAGATTCCGAGAGCTAATTTCACAATTTATTTCTCTCTGGGCACTCTTACTGACTTCCCTCTTTCTGTATTACTGCTTCTAAATGTACTTGAGCAGTCACAATGACCTAGAATACACAGCAGCGACAGATAGTCCTGGACTCTCAGTGGCTTAACACACATATTTCAAATCTCAGTGGCAGAAGGCAGTTATACTCTCCTCACAGTCAGAGCTGGCGGTGGGTCTGGTCACCATCTCTACCTCAGGGCAGGCAGGCAGAGGTCACCTCACCTGGGACTTGCAGTGAGAACCTGGTGTTGCTCACACTGGCTCTTCTGCCTGGAAGTTATAGGAGCTCCCTTGTTATTAGCTGAGTATTAGTTTAAGATGAGGTACATTCGTTTATGCTATGGAACATTTGTTTCAATGATGCAAAGATGTGGAGCATTCTTTTAGGTTGCATTTGTTTAACTCTGTGAAGCTGTGTCACTTTGCCCGTTTAAAACACCTGATTGGTCTAATAAAGAGCTGAATAGCCAATAGCTAGGCAGGAGAGGGATAGGTGGGGCTGCTAGGCAGAGGGAATAAATAGGGGGAGAAAAAGAGAAGAGGGGCTAGAAGAGAAGAAGAAGAGGATTCTGGGAGGCAGGTACCCAGCCAGAGGCGGAATAAGAAGGAAAGAAAAAGAAGGAAACAGAGAAAGGTAAAAGTCCCGAGGCAAAAGGATCTTTTAAGTTAAAAAAAAAAAAAAGCTGGCTAGGCAAGGTGGTGGTGGTGCATGCCTTCAATCCCAGCACTCAGGAGACAGAGATGGCAGACCTCTGTGAGTCTGAGGCCAGCCTGGTCTACAGAGTGATTTCCAGGACAGGCTCCAAAGCTACAAAGAAGCCCTATCTAGGAAAACAAAAACAAAAACAAAAACAAAAACAAAAACAAAACTGCACTCTACCAACTCCAATGTTGTTGGATAAAACAAACCAGAC